ATTTACTTCGTGAGCAGGGTGCTTAAGGACACAGATGTGTGGTACAAACAGATGGAAAAGGTTGCTCTGGCGTTGCTGACGACGTCGCGTCGTCTACGGCCTTATTTCCAGAGCCACCAAGTCGTAGTACGAACCGATCATCCCATTGCAAAAATACTGAGAAAACTCGCCTTAGCTGGCCGGATTGTCAGGTGGGCGGTAGAATTGTCTGAATTCGGGTTGCGATTTGAACCACGCGGGTCGATATGGGACCAACACTTGGCAGAATTCGCGTCAGAATTGCAGTCAGATGAAGATAATGCCTTGCAGCCATGAAAGCTTTTTGTTGATGGATCGACCAATGGAAAGGGAGGAGGCACAATAGTAGTGTTGGAGGGACCGAACGGGCTAGTGGTAGAAGAATCGCTCATTTTTCAGTTCAAGGTTAGTAATAATCAGGTAGAATATGAAGCCCTAATTGTCAGACTGGAGTTGGCCCAAGACTTGGGAGCAGAGTGTGTGCAATGTCAAATGGACTCGCAATTAGTGTTTGGTCAGATGAAGGGAGATTTCCAAATCAAGGACGATAAACTCCTTCAATATTTCCACAGAGCAACAAACTTAATACAACAATTCAAAACTGTAGAAGTAACACACATCCCTAGGGAAGAGAACACAAGGGCAAACATTCTATCAAAACTTTCCAGGGGCAAAGACAGTGGGCAATTGACCTCAATAATGAGGTGGGTCATGACCAAGCCCACCATAGACTGCATGTCAACGTCTGTAGAACCTGACCAGGAAGACTGGAGGCAGGAAGTCATGACGCAAATAAAGGACTTGGAGGAGGGACATGGTATTTCGGCAAAGGATGCTAAGTGTATAGCGCGTTACGTGTTGATAGGGGGAGAGGTATACAAGAGGGGACTTGTAATGCCCTTACTTAAGTGTATTTCCCAAGAAGAGGTGGAATATATGCTAAGGGAACTACACGAAGGAGCGTGTGACATGCATATAGGAAAGAGGGTGTTGAGAGCCCGTGTGCTGAGAGCAGAGTATTTTTGGCCCACATTGGAGAGAGACTGAGATGACTTCGTCCGCAAATATCTCAGTTGTCAAAAGCATGGCAACATACAGAACCTACCGACCACTGAGCTTCATATCCTTACATCCCCATGGCCGTTTGTCCAGTGGGGAATGGATATCGTTGGACCTTCCCGGTCGGTAGGGCTCATAAGAAGTTCCTATTGGTGGCTGTCGATTATTTCACCAAATGGGTCGAGGATGAACCGCTCGCTACCATCTCCGCAGCGCAGGTGCAAAAATTCGTGTGGAAAATTGTGTGTCATTTTGGTTTGCCGAAGGTCATCTTCACGAATAATGGAAGACAGTTCATAGACAAGAAGTTAGCAGTGTTTTACCGAAACTTAGGCGTGAAATATGTAACAAGTTCCGTAGAACACCCATAAACAAACGGTCAAGCAGAGGCAGTGAACAAAACGATAGTTAACGAGTTGAAAAGGCGCCTGGGAGAGAGTAAAGGTGCATGGGTGGATGACCTTTTGGAGGTGCTATGGGGATATAGGTGCACACCGCACGGGACAATAGGGGAAACACCTTTCAACTTAACTTACGACACTGATGCGATGTTACCGGTTGAAGTAGGAGAGCCAACCATAAGGAGAAAGATGACGAACTTAAGAGTCAACGAGGAACAGTTAAGAATGAATTTGGAAACTCTGCAGGAAAGGTGAGACATAGCAGCTGTCTACGTGGAGGCCCGAAGGTACAACACGAAGGTTAAATTTCGGCGGTACAACACGAAGGTTAAATTTCGCCAATTCAAGGAAGAAGATTTGGTTTGGCGAAAAATAGGACAGGCCAGGAAAAATCATGCTCACGGGAAACTGACAACAAATTGGGAAGGTCCCTTTAGAGTAACGGACAATCTCAACAATGGAGCATACCAATTAGAGAACCTGAATGGCGAATATATTCCCAATACTTGAAATTCGTCACACCTCCAGTTTTATTTCAGTTAAATGTCCATGTATCTCCATTTGTTATCAATAATATCAGATTCTGCCGTCCACAATTTTCTTTTGCCAATTCTACTCCATCACCAGGTGACCAGCTCACTGGCGTCTTCTAAGTGATCCAATCACTAGAAACCCCAGGCACCATGCGAAGACATTCAACCGTGGTCTTGTAGTGACCGACTCACTAGTAAGCCCAGGCAGCCAAGTGACCAGCTCACTGGTGTCTTCTAAGTGATCCACTCACCAGAAACCCCGGGTGGCCATGCGCAGACACTCAACNAGGTATGGATAGTGTAATACCCGAACCCGACCCGATTATAAGCGGGTATTAAAATACCCGCAACCCACTATCCGCGGATACCAACTATCCCTAGTGACATCCTTCAACGGATGTCAATATCCGTTTAAGGAAAAACATCCGTTGAAGATGTCACCTCCGTTTAAAGGTTACTTTTTTTAGAGTTTGTTTTTGATGTATACTTCCTCACGCTGGTTGATGCTCTGGGCGCTCCTCGATGTTCCTCCACACCACGGCGGCGACGCTCCTTCACACCACGGCGGCAATGGAAGCTTTCAAACCAAAAAAAAACTGGGAAGAAAAAGGAATGGAAGTGCGGGAGGTGGGGAGGTGAAACGAAAATGGGGAATGGGGAATGGGGAAGAGAGTTCCGTGGGTTGGTGCTGGGAAAGTAAAATTAGGATTTCAAATTATTTAAAATAGGGTAAAAGTAAAAATCTTTTTAACTTAGGAATATAATTGTATTTAAAATAATGTGGGGAGGTGGAAGAAGCATAGGGTGGTGATGGAGGGATCAACACTCCTAGTAGTAGAGCATTTGACTCCCTGTTGATGTCATGTTTTTGTTATTTTTTCATTTTCTCACATAGGCCATCAGAACGAGCCCAACTCAAGATGGTAATGCAAACCAGCCCAAAACTGGCCCGAAATTTCGTCATCACGGCTTCTATCAAAATCCCGTTCTCAAGACTGTGATTCCTGCACCTCCATAATTGTATCCTGCACACCGTGTGCTTGAGAAAATTTCAGAGTTACTTTCTACTTTACGACTTATACTTAGTTTTAGAATACATAATTTGGAGACGTTATGGATTGAAAATTTTGTATTTCAAATTATATATTCTAGAATATAAATTACATAATCTAAAATATACTTTTTTTAATAGAAAACGAAGATAAAGAGTGAAAGAGAGAAGTGCGCAGGTGGAAAAAAGAAGAAAGATACACTGATAAAAAAGATAAAAAAAAAAATAGATATTTTACAACTCCATTAGATTACATATCGAGATGTGAAACCTCTCAATTATCCTATGCTGATCGAGCGGTGGTATATGTTCCAAAAAAATATTATATTTTAATTTTGTTTATTTGTAATATTTATAAATATTCTTCTCTATCAAGTTGTTTATCTCATTGGCTTTGAACAACACCTTGAGAATATTTTTTAGAATAAATAATATAAAAAAATAAAAAATAGCTCACGTGTCAGTTAATAATTTTTAAAAAATATGGTATGCTTTAATTAAATTTTCATAAAAAAAATTTAGGAGAGAAAAAAATAAGAAACAAATAAATTAATATTTATATAAGTCAAAATTAAATAAGGCCGATATATGAGAACTCTCTCGTATAATTCGTCTAAATTCTTACATTTAACCCGTTTACAAATTAGTTAATTTAATTTATATGAAAATTTTAATTTTAATTGTTTTCATATTTTTTTCTTATTTTAGTATTTTTTGGTAATGTTGTTTGATTAAAAAAATAATTTATTAACTCTTGAAAAATTCTGAGGAAGAAATTCGCACAAGATGAAAATTCTAAATTGGACAAATTGATTTACTCATTTTCCATCAACAAATTCATAATAGTAATAATGAGAGTTTATGAACTATATATGATAAAGAAATTTCTACACGTTCTCAAAAGTGCGAACATTAACGACTTTTGAGATTTGAAGTTAGTAAAACACTATGAGATGTAAGGTGGAACTTATCTCTCTCGTATCATATGGGATGGGATTGTATATAATTTTAAGGTAATTGCTTGATTTATACGTCAAGTTTGAACCAAGTTATTTTCACTTTTGATGTTATGCTCCTTTCTTTAGGTTGTTGTGGTTTGGTATCAAGAGTTCAATCAATGGATACGTTAAGACTCATTACATCAAAGCTTTCAAAACATATTAATACTGATTATCAATACAAAACTTTCGTTTTGATTGAAGAGGACTGTTAACATATTTAAAGAACAACAAAAACTTATTATTTTAATAGAAAAAAAAAACTCGTGTGTTTACTTTTAATTATCATTTTTTCAATTTAGTATGACTTGTAAAAGTTATTAATAAATGTCACTAAATTCGTTTTGTTTCACAGTGTAAAATTTGATCATATAAAAATAGCAAATGAAATTTTAGATATATTTTTTGTTTGATTTTCAAATTTGTTAAAATAATATTATTAGAATCAGTTGTTGCATGTAATATTAATTATTCTATAACAAAAGCTAAGAAGGTCGAATCACAATGAAATTATAATATTTAAACTATTCCACTAAGTAGGAAGAGGTGAACATTAATCTTTATGCAATGAACATTTTATCTTAGTTTGTGTTTGTGAAAGTATCATGTGTAAATGATTAATGTAAGGTGGACGATCGATACTAGGCGTTGAGGGCGATCCACCGGAGGTGATCAACGCAACAGTAAATACTGATCGGAAGACAGTTAATGGCATTAATGTGTATTAAAGGTGAGTAACTCCTATATCGTGCGAAAGACATTTATAGCTAATTAATGAGTAATATCAGGCACATTATGTCGAATATAAAGACGTTAGCGAATAATTAATATTACTCGTCGGATGACATGGTATGGTGTCAGGTCTTTTCCCTGTCATTGAGGGGAGAGGCTTTAGATTGGTTCCACTCCTTGGAACCCCGAACGATTGACGGGTTTGAAGATGAATCAGAGCCAGCGATTGGTAGGTGTTCAGCCAGCAGTTTGCGTCCAGCAGTTTGCGTCCAACAGAGCTGAGGATTCGACGTATTTAGAATTGGTGAAGATGAATCAGAGGAAAGAAGAAACGCTGAAGGATTTCATGGATCGCTTCAATAAAATGGTGCGTCAAGTTAGAGACGTGGGACCGAAATATATCTTGAGAAGTTTGACCACCGCACTTAAGCCAAGGCCGTTTGCTGACAGCCTTTATGCTGAACCACCACAGACAATGGGGGAACTGCAGAATAGGGATACTCAGTTCATCCGGGTGGAAGAGATGAGGGCTTTCCAGAAGAGTCAAAAGGAGGTGGTAATGCAGCCCGCAGGTCATAAATTCGATCGGAAGGAGAAACGAAAGATGCTAGGATTAGAGGGGAGACAAGGAGGTCGGTACGAACAACAAAAAGGGCAAAAGTATAGCAATTATATGTCGCTAGGGGTACCCCGTACCAAGATATTCGAAGAGGCGATGCAAACCGAACAACGTCCTCCCAAGCCACAGAAAAACAATCCGAACGGTGATAAAGGCCTGTATTGCAGGTATCACAAGGTTGTTGGTCATAGCACAGAAGAGTGCCACGCTCTGAAGGATAAAATTGAGGAGTTAATAAGGTCGGGACAGTTGAAAAAATATGTACGAAGTGACACCCGAAGAAGGTCGCCCGGAAGAGATCGTCATACAAATAAGAAGGATGCACGTCGGAGCAGGAGTATGAGTGTGGAAAGGCCTCTTAAGGGTCATATCAATACTATTTTAGGAGGCTTCGCGGGAGGAGGTTCAACCTCTTCGGCAAGGAAGAGACATTTGAGGGGGTTGAGGAGTGTGAATAGCATATAGATGACAAGGCGGTCAATGCCGAGCATCACTTTTTCTGATAAGGATTTTCATGCTCCTGACCCTGAACAGGACGATCCAATGGTAATAACTATAATCGTTGCTCGATATAGTATAAGCAAAGTGCTCATTGACCAGGGTAGTTCGGTAAATATACTTTATTGGAAAACTTTTGAAAAGATGGATCTGTTGGAGGATTTGATAGTTCCCTACAACAAGCAGATCGTGGGATTCACTGGAGAACGGGTGGACACTAGAGGATATGTGGACTTACGAACGAGTTTAGGAACGAACAGGGGGGCTAAGGAAGTAAGAGTAAGATATCTGCTGGTAGAAGCAAATACGCCATATAACGTGTTGATCGAAAGACCATGTTTGAATGCTTTTTGAGTCATTGTTTCAAGTCCTCATTTAACAATGAAATACCCTTCTACTGATGGTACCATTTGCACGGTAAGAACCGATCAAAAGATGGCTAGGGAGTGCTACATGGCAAGTTTGAGGGTGCAACCGCTCGTCCATAAACGTGGAGGCAAGGGGAAGGATGTCGCGTTAGCAGACCTGGACCCTAGGATGGACATTGAAGAGAGGATGAAGCCACAAGGGGGGATAAGACCTTTTAGTCTTGGAAAGTTGGAGGGCTAGAATACTTCGGTGGGAACTGGGCTAACAGCTGAACAAGTTAATATTGTTGGTCTTCTATTGAAAAAGAACCATGAACTTTTTGCATGGGCGGCATCCGACATGCCTGGAATACACCCCAATGTAATGTCCCACAAAATGACAATCTTCAAAGAGGCGCGCCCGATAACACAGAAGAAGAGAAGGATGTGGGAAGAAAAGCGTAAGGTGATGGAAGTGGAGGTCAAAAAGTTGTTGGATGCTCGGTTTATTAGGGAAGTTAAGTATACCACTTGGTTGGCCAATGTGGTGATGGTGAAGAAGGCCAATGGAAAGTGGCGTATGTGCACTGACTACACAAACTTGAATAAAGCCTGTCCAAAAGATTCCTACCCACTACCTAATATCGATGGTTTGGTAAATGGAGCCTCGGGGTATGCCATACTTAGCTTCCTCGACGCTTATTCAGGATACAACTAGATTCTGATGTATCATCCTGATTGTGAAAAGACGGCTTTTATTACCGAGAAATCTAATTATTGTTATGATGTAATGCCTTTCGGGCTGAAGAATGCAGGAGCGACATATCAGAGATTGATGGATAAGATCTTTCACTAAAAAATAGGGAGATGCATGGAAGTTTATGTCGATGATATGGTGGTACGGAGTCAATCGGTAGATGAGCACATCAGCGACTTAGCCGAGGTATTTGGGCAAGTCAGGAAGTACGACATAAGGCTAAGTCCAGCAAAATGCACTTTTGGTGTGCATGCGGGAAAATTCCTAGGCTTCATACTAACTGCTAGGGGCATCGAAGCCAATCCCGATAAATGTAAGGCAGTTCTGGAAATGCGGAGTCCACAAAATTTGAAAGAAGTGCAACGTTTGGTGGGACGTCTAACTACTTTGTCAAGGTTCATCCCAAGGTTGGCTGAGCGAGTCAAATCGATCGTTGCCATAATGAGAAAGAACTCATCGTCCAAGTTGGATGCGAGCTGTGAAGAAGCTTTCATGGAGGCAAAAAGAATTTTGGTTAGCCCACCAGTGATGGGAAGGCCAGACGATGGGAATGATTTACAACTTTACCTTGCAGTGACTGAAAGTATAGTAAGTGCGACCATAACGCAGGAAGCACCAGACTTCAAACTCATTTACTTCGTGAGCAGGGTGCTTAAGGACACAGATGTGTGGTACAAACAGATGGAAAAGGTTGCTCTGGCGTTGCTGACGACGTCGCGTCGTCTACGGCCTTATTTCCAGAGCCACCAAGTCGTAGTACGAACCGATCATCCCATTGCAAAAATACTGAGAAAACTCGCCTTAGCTGGCCGGATTGTCAGGTGGGCGGTAGAATTGTCTGAATTCGGGTTGCGATTTGAACCACGCGGGTCGATATGGGACCAACACTTGGCAGAATTCGCGTCAGAATTGCAGTCAGATGAAGATAATGCCTTGCAGCCATGAAAGCTTTTTGTTGATGGATCGACCAATGGAAAGGGAGGAGGCACAATAGTAGTGTTGGAGGGACCGAACGGGCTAGTGGTAGAAGAATCGCTCATTTTTCAGTTCAAGGTTAGTAATAATCAGGTAGAATATGAAGCCCTAATTGTCAGACTGGAGTTGGCCCAAGACTTGGGAGCAGAGTGTGTGCAATGTCAAATGGACTCGCAATTAGTGTTTGGTCAGATGAAGGGAGATTTCCAAATCAAGGACGATAAACTCCTTCAATATTTCCACAGAGCAACAAACTTAATACAACAATTCAAAACTGTAGAAGTAACACACATCCCTAGGGAAGAGAACACAAGGGCAAACATTCTATCAAAACTTTCCAGGGGCAAAGACAGTGGGCAATTGACCTCAATAATGAGGTGGGTCATGACCAAGCCCACCATAGACTGCATGTCAACGTCTGTAGAACCTGACCAGGAAGACTGGAGGCAGGAAGTCATGACGCAAATAAAGGACTTGGAGGAGGGACATGGTATTTCGGCAAAGGATGCTAAGTGTATAGCGCGTTACGTGTTGATAGGGGGAGAGGTATACAAGAGGGGACTTGTAATGCCCTTACTTAAGTGTATTTCCCAAGAAGAGGTGGAATATATGCTAAGGGAACTACACGAAGGAGCGTGTGACATGCATATAGGAAAGAGGGTGTTGAGAGCCCGTGTGCTGAGAGCAGAGTATTTTTGGCCCACATTGGAGAGAGACTGAGATGACTTCGTCCGCAAATATCTCAGTTGTCAAAAGCATGGCAACATACAGAACCTACCGACCACTGAGCTTCATATCCTTACATCCCCATGGCCGTTTGTCCAGTGGGGAATGGATATCGTTGGACCTTCCCGGTCGGTAGGGCTCATAAGAAGTTCCTATTGGTGGCTGTCGATTATTTCACCAAATGGGTCGAGGATGAACCGCTCGCTACCATCTCCGCAGCGCAGGTGCAAAAATTCGTGTGGAAAATTGTGTGTCATTTTGGTTTGCCGAAGGTCATCTTCACGAATAATGGAAGACAGTTCATAGACAAGAAGTTAGCAGTGTTTTACCGAAACTTAGGCGTGAAATATGTAACAAGTTCCGTAGAACACCCATAAACAAACGGTCAAGCAGAGGCAGTGAACAAAACGATAGTTAACGAGTTGAAAAGGCGCCTGGGAGAGAGTAAAGGTGCATGGGTGGATGACCTTTTGGAGGTGCTATGGGGATATAGGTGCACACCGCACGGGACAATAGGGGAAACACCTTTCAACTTAACTTACGACACTGATGCGATGTTACCGGTTGAAGTAGGAGAGCCAACCATAAGGAGAAAGATGACGAACTTAAGAGTCAACGAGGAACAGTTAAGAATGAATTTGGAAACTCTGCAGGAAAGGTGAGACATAGCAGCTGTCTACGTGGAGGCCCGAAGGTACAACACGAAGGTTAAATTTCGGCGGTACAACACGAAGGTTAAATTTCGCCAATTCAAGGAAGAAGATTTGGTTTGGCGAAAAATAGGACAGGCCAGGAAAAATCATGCTCACGGGAAACTGACAACAAATTGGGAAGGTCCCTTTAGAGTAACGGACAATCTCAACAATGGAGCATACCAATTAGAGAACCTGAATGGCGAATATATTCCCAATACTTGAAATTCGTCACACCTCCAGTTTTATTTCAGTTAAATGTCCATGTATCTCCATTTGTTATCAATAATATCAGATTCTGCCGTCCACAATTTTCTTTTGCCAATTCTACTCCATCACCAGGTGACCAGCTCACTGGCGTCTTCTAAGTGATCCACTCACTGGAAACCTTTGGCGTCATGCGAAGACACTCAACCGTGGTCTTGTAGTGACCAGCTCACTAGTAACCTCAGGTGACCAAGTGACCAGCTCACTTGCGTCTTCTAAGTGATCCACTCAATAGAAACCCCAGGCGACCATGCGAAGACACTCAACCGTGGTCTTGTAGTGACCGACTCACTAGTAACCCCGGGCGGCCAAGTGACCAGCTCACTGGCGTCTTCTAAGTGATCCACTCACTAGAAACTCAGAGCGGTCATGCGAAGAATGTATGAGGAATAACTCATTTGCTATTCACATATTCGGGCAAATAAAACACAGTAAAATTATGGTGGTATTTAGTGAATACTTAAACATTCGGGAGTACGAGCAAAATGAATAAAGCTGCAAGAAATTCACTTCATAAACAAAAGTTCTTACATGGAGCATCAGTCTAACGAAAGCCAAGAGAAGAAATTGCAAAATCTAAACCTTAACAGGAACAAATTCCCCAACCTTTTTGGGAGTGTCAGGGGGGGAGGGTGCTCTCGTTTGGAGGAGGAAGGGCATTCTCGTTCGGGGGTGTTCCCTCGGCATTCTGGACGGAAAGAGTAACTAATTTCCCGTTCACAACGTCTTTCATAATGTCGAAGTCAGGAAAGTCAAGAGGAACTTGGAAGAAGTAGTTGCACTGAGCTATTCCTTGCTCGAACCCTCTGAACCGTTCGTTGCAAACTTCATCAACCAAGGCTTTGTTTTCAGCCGTCAACTTTGTCTGGGCAGCAGCAAAGGCATCTCTCTCTTTAGTGAGGTTGGTAATCTGGGTAACACCCTTTTCGACATCTGATTTCAACTCTTAATTAACCTTTTGAAGCTGCCGAGCAGTACTCCGAGCTTGGGTCAAAGTTGTGGAAGCCTTTTTTCTCTCCTCCTCGGCCATCTTCTGAAGCTGTTCAACGCGACGAGTCAAGTCTTCATTGGATTTTTGGGCCTTCGCCAAGTCCAGTCAAGCGCTTTCAAGCTCTTCAGCAAGTATAGACTTAGCAGAGCCAGCTGCATAAGCTAAACATAGGTTGGCTTGAACATTTAACTCGTAAGCTAGGTCTACTGCTT